AAGCTTCTAGTGGCGTAGGCACAAATCCTGACTCCTTAAGCTTCTCTTCTTTTAGTACCTAAAAAAGTTAGAAACATACTTGCCTCGTCGAGCGACTACGAAGTCCATGAGATGGCTTCGTTGTGTTTCGAGGAGAGGACTTTTAAGAACCTCAAAGAATGAGGGATTTGATCGCCTCGCGAGGTGGTTTAAGGGCCGACCTCGGGGGAGGACTTTATTGAAGCCTCGCGAGGTGGTTTTTGGACCGACCTTGGGAGAGGGCTTTTGGGCCTCGTAGGACGAGGATTTAATTGGAGCCTCGCGTGGTGGTTTAGAGCCGACCTCGGGGGAGGACTATGACGAACACCTCTTGGAGAGGTTGTATCTATGAGTGTTTGATTGAGTGCCACTTTTGTGGGCTTAAATAGGCTTTGCCTATTGTTTTGTTTGTTGCATCGATGACTTGGGAGAACGCACCCACTCATCCCGGGGTGTGAACTCTTAGGACTTAGCCAATTGTAGCATTTCCCTCGTGATTTTCACGTAGTTTGCTTTTGGCGTCGTCCAAAAGTTTTGAGTTCTTTATGACGTGATCCCTCGAATTTGGAGATCGCACGTCAAACTCTAATAGACTGAAGATTTTATGACGCAAAGTGTGGTGCGAGCCTCACTTTGGTCGTCTTCAGTTTTTTTGTTTTTGGTTTGTTTTGTTCCGCGAGCAGGTGGCTCAAACAAGTTTATCACCTGTGAGCACACCGCTCACCAGATTTCTCTTACTCCGTGAGTAATTTAATCAACGGACAACCAGACATTTTGTAGATCTCATTTGAAATCTGATTTGGGCCTGTGGAGTGTGACCGGATCCGTGGAGCATAGATACCCGGGCCAGGCAATAACTATCTTGCTTGCTTTGAATAGTTTTACCCGCAGCCTCAAAGGTTTGGAACTAGACAAGAGACGGCGAAAAAGACTTCGAGGAGCAGCGGTCGGCGAAGACGAGGTGCGGCCATCCGTGGTAGCAACCTCCGATCTACGCAGCTGCGACTTCATCGACTTGTGGAAGCCGGATCTATGATGGAACTGCGGCGGCCAGCGGCAAAGCAACCCACGGCAGTTCCCGACGAAGCTCTCGGCGTTGTAGAGTGGCTGACCTCCTTCCTTCCATCATCGACCTCATTCCTCCTGTCTAAATCAAGATGATTGTGGCCCTTCGGATCTGTGGCCTTCCCCAATTGCCAAAGAGACGGGGACGATGCGTGAATCGATCAATTTGAAGGCTGGATGGTGGCTGCAGATTGAGCGACCAGTGGGGATCTTCCGTCACCTGTGAGGTCATTGGGAGTTTAATGACTTGTGGTGATGGCTGTGGTGAGCGGCGACCAGCGTGATGGGTCCGCGACCTACGCAGTCGGCGATGGGGCGACCTGCAGATGGTCAGCAATGAGGTGACCCACTGCGGTCAGCGACGAAGCGACCAGCGGCGGTCGGCGATAAGGCGACTGGCGGCGGTCGATGGTCAGCAACGAGGTGACCCACGGCGGTCAGCGACAAGGCGACCCGCAGCGATCAGCTACGAGGCGACCAACGGTGATGAGCGACCAGCGGCGGTCAGCGGGGAGTGACCACCGGCGGTCAGCGAGGAGCGACCAGCGGCTCTCCTGGTGACCTCGCAGTTTTGAGAGGACCCACTCGCACCTCCATTGTGGTTCTAAAATCCTACAGTGAGGGTTGTAATCGGACAGCAATTGGAGACTTGAGGCGAGCAGCGGCCATCGGCACGACGATGGTTACTCTAACGGCTGGTGACTTCGATGTAATCTCCAACTCCGAATCTTAACTCCAGCTACAGACGATAAAGATCTGGCCGCGGAGCACAATTCTTTCATGTAATTGCAGGAGTTATTAGGCTTCATGTGATTCCAATGATAATGATCAAGAACGAGCAGGAGATCCGGACAAGAGTAGACACTGTAAACGTCGGGTGGCGCCATCCCAAGAACCCCCGAGTGTGTCTATTGTTGCAGCGACCATTCCCAATTGTCCGTATTCGTGTATGGTGAGGTCTTGGGGCTGCCATGGTCAGGCTAGAGCTTCCACTCCCGATGGCGGTATTCATGTCCGGTGACCAGTAGGGGGAACTTGAGCAGCAGCCCGTTCGCACCTCATTGGTCTCCAGTCGCGAGAACCGGCCTAGGATGTGGAGGCCCAACAACCTCACCAAGAGAGCGGCCTAGCCGATTTCACTCGCCCTTGTCCTAACAGCGGCAAAGTTGTTGCATAGCAATGGCGGGGAGCTCTGCTAGATTTGGTCATTAATGGCGGCGATCCGAGGTCTTGCGACCCAGGCACTCGCTCAATGATCAGCGACGGACTCTGTAAGCTGACCCGCGGCGGTCAAGGACGAGGCGACCCGCGGCGGTCAGCGGAAACGCGACCCACGGCGGTCAGTGACGAGGCGACCCGCGACGGGGCGATCCGTGGTTGTCCGCCTGGTAAGGCAACCCGCGCACAAATGCCCATGTTGGAAGGAAGTTCAGTCTCGCGATTCACAATCCGCGTAAGATTTGCAACGGACAGAGACGGAGGCCCAGGTTCTGCGCAATTAGTAGCGGAGCACGGATCTAGACAGAGACGGGGTGGAGCAAAGGTTCCGATATGTTCTCGGCATCCTATATGCGTCTCTATGTAGATTCAAAATCCTGCTGCCAGTGAGCGATGAAAACATAGATATCGAAGATGATTCTTGATCTATATGGGGATGCTATCTCCCTCTTGTGTGAGATCGTGGGTCAAGATTCAAAATTCCAAGACCCAAGATCTAAAATTCCACAGCACCATACTTAAACAAAACCAACTTTGTTTTGTTTTTTGGTTTTGTTATTGTATTCTGCCCACGGTATTTGTAAAATAATGGGAGGATTTTACACTTGAGCATGAAATTCTCCTCTCAACGAGAGCACCATTTGATAGACCAAAATCCACCGAGTGTGTATTTTTTGGTCTATACGATATATGTATAAAATATAGAAAATATATGAACACGAATATAGACAATAGACTTTTACGCGGAAACCAAATCGGTGAAAACCACGGGCATTTTTTGGCGGTACCATGCCAATGGGGATGTTTTATTATATATCGGGGGCATATTTGTACAGCATATTGGCGTGATAGCCATTGATGGAGAGAATACAATATATGTGGAATGTAGAGGGTGGCTCCCCCCTTCTTCTTGGTTATGTGTCTCTTATATAGAATCAAGGTAGGAGCCTAGGGTTAGGGTTCCCTAGCGGGCTCCTTGCGTGGACCGGCCCAATATCTTTAATTAGGCCCAAGGGATATTATCCCATCAGTTTGTATATTGCTTAATGTCCTCATATGCAATGTTTACATATGTTCTCTATATGTTCCCCTTAAATTCATATGCATAATGAATTAATGACTTTATTTTGTGAACTTCAATAGCCATGAAATATGTTTGCCTTTGCCTATTTGCATATTACAACATATTGTACATCAAAACGTCTTGTGTAAATGAGCTTATAAACATCAAAATGTCATATGTGAATGTTTTAAGGCAATAATGTTTTAAAACAATACTATATTATACTCCCTCTGTCCACCATAAATATTCTCAGTCACTATTCACAGGGTCAAACTTTACTCACTTTATTTACTCAATTTTACTAGTCATTTCATAAAATAATATAGTCTTGTCACCTCTTGATAGGCGTGTCGTAGCACCTACAAATTAATTAATTATTTTCCTTAACTCTTAACCCCCTTTATGAATTAATATTCATTAAAACATATAGATAGGGCAAGTAAGGGTCGATCCCACGAGGAAAGATACTCTTTTAGCTATGAAAATCAGTTCACTTGTCACATTTATTGAATAAAAACTAACTAAAACTAAATAACTAAAACTAAAAGATATGGGGGGGTTTGAATGATGATTCTAAAAAGATAAAAATGCAAATAAAATAAAGATAAAGGATAACAGATACGAGACGGAACCACAACAGCAAGCCAAACTCAGAAGTCACTCAGGGAGAAAACAAACACACAAAAACAATCACACATTAAACTTTATAAAAACGTAGACAATAATAATTAACTTAAACAATTTTGAAAATACTTATAGTTTTTAATAGAAAATAAACTGAACAAATCTGATTAACTAATTAATTATGTCTTGATTCTGAAATTAAACTGCTAATTAAACTCAAGGTTAGGCTGAAGAAGAGGTCCACCAACGGTTCTTCCCTATTTTCCCATTCATATTAGCTTATGTTAAGACCAACCCTAACTCTAAACCCTACTACCCTTAGCAACCCAAAGACCAACCCTTAAGTTACTACTAAGAATAGCGCATTAAAATCTTTGGAAAACATCACCATAACAATCTTGCAGTAACACTACGGTTATTTAACAAAATCAGTTCGAGAACCTTGATTAGCAAAAACCACTTAACGAGGCAGCCAAGACTAATCAAGTGACACTTAG